CTACTACAACCACTAGACCAACGAGGCAAATAAAGCCCACAACGGGAAAGGCCAATATCCAGCAGTAACTTATGGACTGATAAAGAAGATATTAAAAAAAAGTTTGCATTTCACACACGGTAGAAGCGAAACCTTCAGACTAAACTGAGAGAATGAGACGAATGTAGAGTATTAGGTGTAGGTTAATTGAAGGGTTTAAAAGTTTAAGTTTAAAATTTAAAAATTATATTATACCACCAAGGTGTATAACAAAAATTAATAACGTATCTTCATAATTATATCCTCATTGAGCATAGCCCTCTCCGTAGCTCAGCGAGCTATGGAGAGGGCTATGCTCGGGGTTTCTCTGCGTGATAAACTTAGAAATGAGTAGCAATAGAACCAGAGTGACCGACATAGCCCAATGGATTAGTAAGCTGAAGTGGCAGTGGGCCGGCCATATAGCTCGAAGAACCGACAACCGATGGGGAAAAAAGGTTCTCGAGTGGCAGCCTCGTACCGGTAGGTGAAGTGTAGGGCGACCCCCCACGAGATGGAGTGACGACCTGGTAAAACATGCAGGAAGTCGATGGATGCAGGTGGCTCAGGACCGTGCTTTGTGGCATTCCTTGGGGGAGGCCTATGTTCAGCAGTGGACTTATGAAAGGCTGTAATGATGATGATGATGATCCACGTCACGCGCCATCAGTCATCTCACATGTGTATATGGTTGATGTAAATTACACAGTCCCTCAAAAGGAGCAGCATCAATTGGGCGGGATGGCTGACTCTCATCGCCAACCCGCTTGCTTATAACAAATCTTTCCAACTATGGGAATAACTCATCTCTAAATAATGATTCATTCTTTAATGCAGTGGTTCAAAAGCCTATCGTGAATTTAGTGATTAAACTTGGTGTTCAGACTTGACAACGCTTCTGTAGCCTTGTCTTATTTAAGTTGGTACCAGGAGTTCATGGGCTGCAGTAGCCTTTTACCATCAGGTAAACTGTAAGTTCGTTGGTAACTGGTAAAGTCCTCAGGGGTGATAACGCATCTGTATTTTGATTCCTAATCATGGATAGATGTAGATGGTTATGGGTCACAGCATCCACTTAATACCATCGGGTGGAATGTGTTCTAGTTTGTCGCCCATATTCTATAAAAATGATAATAACACAATTTTTACTCTATCGGGTACGGGTCTAAAGGGTAATATGTACTGGACGTGGGTTATTCAGCTCTTATGGAGTATAGAACATTGTTCTCGAGTTAAATTTGAATTGTTCGTGCATTGTGACCAGGAGCAGGGTCTTGCTGTAAAATCCACAGCACATTTTTGAAAGGTGTTTCATTGAGCGGCTTCATTACACGATTCTAGACCAAACTATTTGATCCCTTTTCACCAAAATAAAGCTTCTTCCTCCCCCATGAGACACTTCCACCAAACCATAATTGATGGAGAAATAAACACCAAAACACATGTTACAAATTTCTTAATAGATTATTCAAGTTATAATAACTACAGAATTAAAAAAAAATTAAATCCTAAACTAAATCAAAGCAATACAATCATACAAGCTTTATGTGTGCGGATTATATTTCACGCGATAATATTTTTTCTGTATCAATGCCAATCTACATAATACAAATTGTCGTTTCGAAGCGTGCCTTGTCTGTGCGTTCGAACGTAATCGCGTGCGGGCACGGTTGCGTGGGTTGCGTGCGTGCGTGCATGAAAGGTGTCAAAGTGTGACGTCACGACATAACTGAACACGACTTCCAATCAACGTAAGTGATTGAAGTTATCACTGCATGAGCAAATAAAGGGAAGCCCTATGGGGGTATTTAAACTAGAATGCAATAATTTCGATTTTACTTATTTATTGTCCATGAGTTTTACACTGAATCCAACCTTTTTGTTCATAGCGTCTTTGTATGTTTTTGAGATGGGTAATCATCTATTCTATACAAATAAATAAAATTGAAGTGTCTGTTTTTGTAATGTCAAAATTACAGTTTTTTTTTTTAATAAATGCATATGAAAGTAAATACGGTACTTATAACTAAAATACATTTTTTTTAAATTTTTGACTGTCTGTGTGTCTGTTTGTTCCGGCTAATCTCCGAAACGGCCGGACCGATTTAGACTGGACTTTCACTGGCTGATAGCTGATTTCATAATGTGTAACTTAGGCTACTTTTATTTTAGAAAAATAATTAGGGTTCCGCGCAAAACATAAAAACACTAACACGCGAGCGAAGTCGCGGGGAACAGCTAGTTTGTAATATTTTTTCACCAGTGCCTTTTTTTGGTTTAAATACTATGTAAGTTGAATTTCCCCCGGTGTATATCGGCGGCTTCGACCCTTTGGCAATGAGGTTTTTAATTTAATCTAAGCTGTGTATTTGAAATATTTTCTGAATTATGTTGTAAGCAAAGAGTATATTAAATCACTACGTTTTAGTTATAAGCCATTGTACGTATTGTCTTTGTATTACTTGTATTGTCCTCTAGCTGTTTCCCGCGACTTCGCCCGCGTGTAATTATTTTGCGTGGAACCCTAAAACAAAAGTAGCCTAAATTACACCTTATTACATCAGCTATCTGAAAGTGAAATTCCCTTCCAAATTGGTTCACAGGTTTTTGCGCTTTGCGTGTTCAGACAGACGTAGTGTTTTTTTCCGACTTACTTATACATTTATCGTTATATTTTGGCCAATTTACACAATATCTTTATTAGTTATAGCTTATGTGTTATTATGATGTATGAGTTATACCTATAATTGTAAAGTTTCATTAAAATCCATTATGTAGTTTTTGCGTGAGAGAGTAACAAACATCCATACATCCTCACAAACTTTCACGTTTATAATATTATTAGTAGGATGTTTGTTTAAATATTCCATTCTATGACAATATTATTTATTGTTCGTGTCTGTTGATTTAATTTAATGAATAATGACATAATGTTTTAAATTTCATGATTTTAATAATATTGTAAGCCTTAATCTAGGGTCTAGGCAAGTAAGTTGTGGTGATACTTAATTACTAGTAAAATGTTAAATCTAAAGCCTATAACTAGCACAATAAATGACTATTCTATTCTATTCTATACTTATCATAATTTTATGTTTGTGTATTACTAAGGTCGCTGCAGTGTTTATTTATTACAAGCGGCATGCAAATAAGTTAGCTCAATAAAGTCAGTAATTTCGATATTATATACAAGCAATTTAATTTATATGCGTATAGATTACATTATTTATCTTAAGTAGAATTTAGATTCTTTAAGTTATTTAGTATGTTACATTTTGTTAATTTTAGGTAAGATGTTAAAGTGAATTTCTTTCATATGAGGTCTAGGATATTCAATATTTCCGCGATGATTGGGCAATAGTTCAAAAATCCGTTACAGCATATTTAAAGACCAATGCTCAACATAGGTCTCTCCGATATGTTGCTTCATCTATCTATCTATCTGTCTATTATTATAATTATAATTATAATAATATAATAAAGCGGAAGAGTTTTTTGTTTTTTTGTTTGTTTAAACGCGCTAATCTCTGGAACTACCAGTCCGATTTGAAAAATTCTTTTTGAATATTATAGCCAGACTCATGTGGAATAGTATAGGCTATCTAGCATTAAGCTATATTACTCAGCTAGCCTTAAATATGGATATTTGTTAAGCAAGCCAGAAGAAAAAGCACTCCCGAAATGATTTATCCGCGTACGCTGGTGTTATCGTTGGGGATACGTAAATACAATGTTCTAGAAAAATATAGACCTTAACTCCGTCTAAAAAAAAGTCCGCGATACCATATGTCTATTTCTTATACATAAGCCATAATTTGGTATTTTGTGACAAAAAAATATTGAAAATTTAAAAGTGGTTTATGAGCTTTATTATTAGGCATGGCCTATTTATCCTTACGAACGAAAGTTACTTCATCATCAAGACAATTTTATGAAGATAAACTTTGTTCTTTATACCATGTTATTTGGACGCATAGTTTAAGAGATAATGTAAAATTAAAATAATTCAATACTTGGCTGGGCGCGCGAAAGAAGCTTAAACCCTAGCCGTTATAAAATGCTTGAACTAGGTTAATTCGCGCACCTCGAACACGTGATGACGCGGGTGAAACCGCGGGGCACAGCTAGTTAATATAAGCTACTAGCTAATTATAATAAAACACGACGTCTATCTGACCACGCATCACGCAAAAACCTGTGAACCGATTTGGATGGGACTTTCACTGCCGAATACCTAAAGCTATAAGGAGTAACTTAGGTTACTTTTATTTTAGAAAAGAATTAGGGTTCCGCGTAGTAAATTTAAAACCCATGAAATCCAATCGCAATAAATCGATCCGAGGCGAAGTCGCGGGCAGCTGCTAGTTTAATATATTTGCATAATTGCCAGGCTAGGCAGGCGGGTTGGCAACCGTAGTTTTATACTCCCTTTATATTTTTATTATTAATTAGCTGACCTAGCGAACTTCGTACCACCTAACAGTCGATTTTTTAATTTTTTTATTTTTGTTAATACTTATTCTGCTATTCGCGACACCGGGTCTGCTAGTAAGTTAAAAAAAGAAAAAAGAAAATTGATGTCGTCAACAATTACATTATGTCAAAAAATAAAAATTATAAAACACTATTGACAAATATTGACATTAATATTTATACGATACTAACGTACTTTGTGTGTACTTTGCGTGTTTTGCCTTCCCGGAACCCCTCCACTAACACTTAAACTTTATGGTATGGTATTAAAGTTCAAATTGACTTTTAAGTATTATTACGAATGTTTTGTATGGGAATATAGAAAAGTGTTGTTTTTAGACTTTTTCAGGCAATTTTTTAAAATTTTCTCTCCGTAAGAACCATCTTCGTACTTCAAGGTATATTATAAAAAAAAGAATTAGCGAAATTGATTCAGCTGCTCTCGAGATTTGCGCTTAGCAACACATTCAGCGATTCATTTTTATATTATAGATATTTTTTGTCTACAGGCTATAATGTGCTACACGCCGAAGTTTCTGTGGGACGCATTCGAGGGTGGCCTCTTACGGACCATCGTGATGGGCCTCAATATTGGCGTTTGCGACCAGAAGGAGAAGGAGAAGAAAAAGGACGCCATCATCGGCTACCTCATCAGATACGAGAGGGTGAGTGCAAAGTTACATCTTTTTTGAGTCGATATGAGTGTTTTTTTTTTATGAAACTGAGGTGACAAACGAACTTACAATCAACTTATGTATGCATTCGCGGACTTTCTTTTAGAACTTTTCAAGAGGAACGATTCAGCCATACATTATTTTCGTGCAACTTTAACTGTTGACGCAGCGAACGCACAATCTCAATAGGCACAACTTTTTCTGACTTAGCCTACGAATATTATCATAACTTTTAACCGTAACATACATACAGACATAATATAGCCTATATCCAACTGGAATAATGTACCTTTCAAATATTAAAAGAATTTCTCAAATAGAAGGCCACCTGATGGTAAGTGGTTGCTGTGGCCCATAGACATCTACATCTATCCTCAATTAAAAATCAAAATGCAGATGCGTTGTCACCCGTGAGGACTAAGATGGAATGACTCATTTCCAGTAAAAAAGGCCTCCGGCTACCTGCACTCACCAAGCGAAACGCAGAGGTAAACCTCTACTTCACGCTGGTATTCTGTGAGGTCGTGGTACCACCCCGGTTTGAGCCGGCCCATCCGTGCGACAGCAAAAGCTGCCGCGTGGCTCTACCACTGTTAATTATACTATACATATATACATATACATACTATACTTATACTATACAAACTCACGAAATTCGCACTCTCTCTTTATAATAGTAGTTTAGAGTACAGAAAATCCTTGCCCTTGAAAGACGTGGACAATAACTGCTAGTTCAGACCCAAAAACCGGTAGTTTGTCTTTTGACACAAATATGATGTTAAGTCCTAGATAAAATCCGGGATGTTTGACTTTGCAGTTTAGTACTATGGCATTGACGCGAAAATCAATATTTATAACAAAATTATAACTATCATGATATTTCGTAATATTTCTAACATAAATCTGCGTATACGTTTTCATATTGCGTAATTATTTACTTATTTAAATTGTAGATCGCAATTCACTGTCGTGTAAATGTGTTATACATATGTAACTATTGTAATCCTTGCAAACAAGATGTCCGTATGTTTTATTTCCTTATGGGCGCTTTGAAGCACGCGAAATTTTAGTTTTATTAATATGTAGTATTCACGTTAATAGAAGAATTTATTTTCCTTGTTATGGTAGAGCCGTGGTAGTTCTGGGGCCAAACACTCGATGTAAATTTTACAGTATGCTAGCACTCGGGTTCGATCCCCGCCGGCACCAATGAAATCGTTAATTTTAATTTTAAAGTGCTGATTTACCACGTGCACGCGGTGACGGAAAACATAGTGAGAAAATCTGCATATCTAAGAAAAAAAAAGAAGACGTGAAGCCCGTTAACGCGCTTTGTTGGAATCGATAGGCGAACAATTACTTACTCTAAAACATTCTCAGAAATGGGAGGGGGCTTGTGCCAAGCTGCAGCTATTTAATGGTTGAACACGAATGAGTCCGCACGATTGGTGTAGGACCACGCTCTCACAAAATAGCGGCGTAAAATGGCGTGAGTGTAGAGAACCGGAGACCCTTTCTACTGGATAAGAGGCGTTGCATCGTAGTCCTCAGGGTTGGCAGCGCATCTTCATTTTCATTCTAGTTTGAGGATTTTTATTTATTTGCTTTTTAAGGGAAACATACAGTACAATAATAAATTACACAATAAAACATATAAAAGTAATCCTAAATGAAGTTTCCACAGATATCTAATACATAATAAAAGCTTGCCACCACAATATTATGTTGTATAAAAATTAAAAATATAAAAGAATAAAACAAGCTAAATGGTATTCATAAATTAAAACATTAAGTAGCAATTATATATTAAGTTTTACAATATTTTCTTTGTAACTATCATATGCTCTATGCTCAATGACCTCAATAGTGTTTCCCAACGGATAGGTCTTAAGATGAACATGGACAAAACAAAGATTATGTTTAATGTCCATGTCACACCTATGCCGGTAGTTGTTGGGAGCACTAAGCTCGAAGTTGTTGACGAGTATGTTTACCTGGGACAAATAGTCCGACTAGGTAAGTCCAACTTCGACCGAGAGGTCAATCGACGGATTCAACTCGGCTGGGCAGCGTTCGGGAAGCTACGACACATCTCGTCAGACATACCTCAAAACCTTAAAACGAAATTGTACAACCAGTGCGTGTTGCCAGTGATGACTTACGGAACTGAGACGTGGTCCTTCACTGCTGGCCGTATGAGGAAGCTCAAGGTCGCTCAGCGAGCTATGGAGAGGGCTATGCTCGGAGTTTATCTGCGTGATAAACTTAGGAATGAGGATATCCGCAGTAGAACCAGAATAACCGACATAGCCCAACGAATTAGTAAGCTGAAGTGGCAGTGGGCCGGCCATATAGCTCGAAGAACCGACAACCGATGGGGAAGAAAGGTTCTCGAGTGGCAGCCTCGTACCGGTAGGCGAAGTGTAGGGCGTCCCCCCACGAGATGGAGTGACGACCTGGTAAGACATGCAGGAAGTCGATGGATGCAGGTGGCTCAGGACCGTGCTTTGTGGCATTCTTTGGGGGAGGCCTATGTTCAGCAGTGGACTTGTGAAGGGCTGTAATGATGATGATGATGATGAACTATCATATTCAAGGTGAAACATATCTAATTTACAATATTTTAAGTTAAACTTTTTGCATGTACGAGATACAAAATTATTTGAGGCATACCTTGTTTTAACTTTAGGTAATGTAAAAAGAGGTTTCTTTCGTGCAGCTAACCTGTGACACGCAAGATTCACTTTGCCTTAAAGTAGGGGAGAGTCGATGATATTATGAAGCAATTTGTACAACAACATTTGATCTCTTATATCACGGCGTTTCTCGAGGGTATTGCTGTCTAAGTGATCAATAATGGAGTCTACAGAAGAATTACATCGCTTTAAGTGACGCACAAACTTATTGTTGATTGTTTCAATCATTTTAATATAAACTTTGTATTGAGGATTCCAACATGAAGAGCAATACTCAAGAATAGACCGCACCAGAGTGTTAAATAGTAAGATAACTGTTGAATTTTTAAAATCTTTTGAGATACGCATAACGAAACCTAGCATTTTATAAGCTCTTTTAGTTATGATATTAATATGTGATCTCAGTAACAACTTACTATCCAACTGAACACCAAGATCACGCAGTTCATTAACTCTCGTTAGTAAATTATCATCAAGCTTATAATCAAAGAGGATGGGATTCTTTTTCCTGGTAAATGAGATAATGTTACATTTCTTAATGTTCAAGCAAAGATCATTTGCTTGACAACATGCACTAAGCCTACATAGATCTTCTTGAAGTAGATGGCAGTACCTCTATAGTTTTAATAAACCTGAAAACTTCATATTTCATGGATAAATGTGTATGTTTATGGGACACAACATCCACTTCTCATAATAATGCCAGATCGGAAGACCAATATAGCTGGACAAAATTTAAAAATGTTTTAGGGTTGTTGTCGGGAGAAATAAATATTTTCTATACATATAATAAAACTGTAAATAGCAGATGTCTGTACATTTTATATTTTTGTAATAAAAGTGATTGAGGGGTACTAAAAATAAGTAATTAAATACATTTCTACCATTTTTAGAATTTTCTGTCTGTCTGTCTGTCTGTCTGTCTGTCTGTTTGTTTGTTAACGTATCACGTATAAAGTACTAATTTATATCATAAGAATTGTTAAGGAAATTATAAAGTGTATCTTCGGGTTACATTTAGTCTTTATTTCATTAAAATCAGTTCATTCCATCAAAAGTTATGATAAATATTCTGAAGTATGGGTAGGGAAGTATAGGCACGAATTTGCTCAACGGTGGCTTTGTTTGAGTCATCAAGTGCATTTTAAACTAATATCATATCATAAATCATAGTTAAATTATGTAAAATAATGATATAATTATGTATATCTAAAACGCAGTAAACAAAAGTATTAAAGAACGTATTAAATATATTATACAAAAATATATTAATCTTTAAATCTGAAGCACAATAGTTAACCCATTTCTTCGATAGATGGTGGTGTTGTGAAAATGTAACGCAATTGCAATGTGGTTTTTTCCTGTAGATGAGTTTTCATATTTACTGCTAATCTTTATTATACTCTATACTATATTACTCGCTGCCCTACTGCGTGTTGACAAACTCAATTTATTCTTTACCGCCGAGTACTCTATGTGGTAAATCAAATTTTAAAAGAGCTATTAACAATAGCGTTGGTTTTGGCGAGAGTCAAACTTTATTTTTTGCTTACTGTGCAGGCACTGATTTATAAGTTCTCTTGCGTTTTATATAACGTATCAATCGCGTCAATTAATCTCTTTTATTTTTAGAATTGATGTTAGCAGCGCCATCTCTCTTTAAATATATACATATAATAAAAACGATGATAACATGTTGTGTCTCTTTCTATACATTGTATATATATTTTGGAGGCTAAAATCATTATGGGGAACTGAAAATAATTAAACAAGAACATTTTATAATTTTTAGAATTGTCTGTCTGTCTATTTGTCTATTATTATATGAACGCATCACGTCTAAAGTAAACATCTTTTATTTTCAAAGAAATCGTTAAGAAAATCATAAAGCGTATCTTCGAGTTACATTTAATCTTTGTTTTATTAAAATTGGTTAATTCTATCGAAAGTAATGATTATTATTTTGAAATGTGGGTTCGGATTTGTTCAATGGCGCCATAAAATCTCAGAAATAGTAATAAAAAGATTTGTGTGTAAAAAAAACGTTCCATAATAATTAATATATTTATACTTAAAACACAAAAAGAGATTTAAAAAGGATGTTTTCTCACACAAAGGACGTAATGGATGGAGTTGTACAAATTACAAACTTTTCTGAATTGCTGTGTTGAGATTTTTCGCCGATGAATCGTATTGAGACTTACTGAAGAAATTTGTTTCCATCGAAGCCATACAACGGAACCCGACCAAAAATAAAAATTTTGCAACGAAATGTCGTGATATTGTATTTATAAT